GGAGAATCTAACAGGGCAAAGCTAATAGCAGGGTTTATTGAAGCTTTCGACTCATAACAGAAAATTATCTCTAGAGAGAATTCTCTCTCTGCTTCTCCAGAAAGGGGAGCCTGAGGCTGCCCCTTTGGCACCTTGACTCACAGCCCTCGTCTTTGCTGGGGAATGAAGGTGGCAAAGACATTTTCAAATAGGATCTAAGATTCACCAAGCAGTTATAGAAATTGCCAAATTCACAACTCACAGGATTTCCTGTAATTTGTCCTTTAGATCAACATTCTATTATAAAAAAGTGAGTACTATGGTCAAATATATTTAGGAAACTCTAGAATAAGCAGAGTTAAACAAGGTTCTGTATTACTATCTTCTCCCATTTTTCAATATACTGGTTTGCTTGTGGCTCTTCAGGAGATGAGGGTGGGGAGTGAATGAGTGGGGTATATAGTTTCCTAACCAGATTCGGCCTGAGTCCTTTCCTTGAGGTATGTCTCAAAAGCCTAGACCAGAGAATGGCGAACTACGGCTCACAGGCCAGTCTCCTGTTTTTGCAAACACAATTTTACAGGAACACAGCCATAAAACTGTCATTCCTTCACCTCGTGTCTATCGCTGCTTTAGCATGACAACAGCAGAGTTGACCTGTTGTGGCAGAGATCATGTAGCTTGAAAAGCTTAAACATTTATTATATGGACTTTTATAGAAAAAGTTTGCCGACCCCTTGCCTAAGACCCCTTTGGAACACTCTTTGAGAAATGTGAATTCCTAGGGATAACACCACTAGAGTAAGATACAGAGTACAACTATCACAGACAGGTTTCTATCCCTTTTTCCTTATTTATCTTCTGCAATAAAACAAAAATTTCATTTCATAAAACATTTCTCGATCTCATCCCCCCTCTGCTCTTTGGACCAGGAGGCTATGAGCATCATAGCAGGAAACACGTACAGTGTTTGCTCTCTGTCCATGCTACCAATAAAAACCATAAGACACCATTAATCCATTTCTGTATGACTCTCCAGCCATTTGCACCCAAACTCCGATGGTATCAAAAGAGGTTTCCTTACTTGACTGGTTCCCATGACTCCCGCTCAAAGCCCCTGTGAATGGATTGTGCAATTGAGGACTCCATCAAATCCACATATCTAACCACAAGTGGGGCGAACAGGTCCTGCAGATGCTTGTGAAATTTTCCATTGCACAAATTATCTAGAACAGACAAGCAAAATTTCGGTAAGAACCCACAGTTGCTTTGTCAGCATACAACATACACATAGAGAAGATTGTCTTCTACATTAAATGCACTGCTTCTAAGAGAGCACCCCGTCCCCCCAAAGAAAGAAAAAGAAAAAAGAAAAAGAAAAAGTAAGAAAAAGAGCAGGAAATAAACTACATGAACAGCATCAAAGTTTATGCTTCAATCTGTATGGAAGGAAAATGGAATTAAAAAACATTTTACCCATTGGTATTGCTCTTCTCAAAAGGAAAAACAATCACGCTTCTTGACAAACAACAAAATAACAGGTGACACTGTTTTTCAGGTTTTCCTTGCACCCACTCCCCTTCCTCCCATTATGTTACCGTTCTCTGTAGAATATTCTCCTCCTCCTTTGGTTCACCATGCTCCCCGCGAAGGAAGGTCTACTGAATGGCTATTACTGTTGTAAGGTACTCGGAAATGCTCCTGGTGTTACTTAGCTAGAAATTGTTTTTCATCTAGAAAGCACCTTTAGATCAAAATTGTAAAATCTGAAGGGGTTAAGTTAATTAGCTTGTTCAAGAGCAACCCACCCTTCTGACACTGCCCTTGGGTTCTGCGGCCTGGTTAAGAGAGGGCTCCCTGTCACGACACGCTTGTTGGAAGACACTATCAGCTGTAAGTTTGTTTCCTTTTGAATTAATAATAAAACTATGAAGAACTATGTCCATCCTATAGTCTGCCTGGGATAAAAATGTTTTAGCAATCTGCTTATCTGTACACTACATAGGAAAGTCAAAAAGTCAAAGATGATACATACAATCGGTACGCAGGAAATCATTCAGCAGCTGAAACAGTGGGAAACTGTCCCATGTGTCTGGGGGCTGCACCTCTAAGGCTGCATCCATGTCCACCGCAAAGAGTGACAGGAACGTCTCAGCGTGCTCCACCATCAAGTCTGACCACCACGCAAAAGCCTTCAAAATGTGGCAGAAAAACAACAGACAAAGAGGCAATGAGCTTCTCTCTCCGACATAAGATGGGAAGTCAAGCCCTCACTGTTCAAGGTTAATTGTGCATCCACTGGGGATTGGTTATTTTATTGTAAAGAGAACAGCATATTTGATACAATTGGGCCTCTAAGTGTCCCAAGGCACTGCTTTTCACGCTTCCAGGCCTGCCTTAGAAAGTCTTTATTCTGACCCACTGGCCGGAGGATGCAGCTGTAGAAGTGACAGACGTGGAACTTCTGTTCAATTTACAATAACTCAGTATGCTTTGGGTCATGCTCTTTATCACTGTTGGTAGCTAGTTCTTGCTCTAAGGTATTCAAATTTGGGAGTTTCTTCACTGTGTTTATGGGTTTTCTGCTGGTCTAACTTGAAAATTTGCAGCGATTGTTCACTTACAGCTACACATCTGGGGGCTTAATTGTCTACGGTCTCATACAAACTCAGTGACTTGTGTTTCCCTACACATTGGAAATGTTACTCCTATTCATACCAAGGCAAAGGAAACCACTGTTGCAATTGTCACAAAACTTTTGAGTCAAAATCTCTTTAAGCAGGGAGCTTCTGGTTTTGCATCCTGTCTGTAGGAAAGATCAGACGTATGCTAGGAAACACTCAGTCAGATGAGGACTTACTTTTCTGAGGACTGCACACATATGTACATTGAAAACCAAAAAATATCAGTGAAGTAACTCATTTTCATGCACGTGGGTCCTTGGAAATCATTGTGCAGGGTCTCAGGGGCGACATTCACATCAGACTGGGCCAGATGTGAATGCAATTCAAAGGCATGCATGCATGTTGACTATCATTTCTGGCAGGGAGCATGCACAATGAGTGGCAGTGCCAACAGGCCCTCTTTTGCTGATTTCAAAGACAGCAATAAAATAAAAACAAATCGCCAGCCCCGGCTTGTCCCCCACCTCCCCACTAGATGCTGTAAAGTATTTACATTGGAAACACTTTCCGGAGCATTCACTGAAAAAAGATGGAAGGCGTTTGGAAACATGAAAGATGATTATGGAAATAATTCCATAAGTGAAAGTGTTTGTTCAATAGCCAAGCTCTTCTGTGATCTATTGATATTTGGGGGATATTCTAACAGCCACTAGGAGGCAGAGCAGTGGTCCACCTCTCTTCTTTCATGAGATTTCATTTTACTTACTTCTCCTTTATCAACATGTGGCTGGTTTGCAAATTAAATGGAAAAAATCAAGTCATGGACTATTCTGCAAGGTCAGCTTGGCTGGAAATAGACACCTGCTGTTTCCATTTTAAGTTACAATAAAACCTCACTGATTCAGAGTAATGGGAGTGGAGACATGCTAGTTTGTCAGCAGACAAGCCTAAACTATTGGGTTTCCTAAAAAGAGATACTTGCTGCTTTCAAATGCAGTCCGTGCTTGGGCATCAAAGTAACATGTACTCACTGGTTATCATACGAATGTATCATAAATGTATAATTAATAAAAATGTCTAATAATTGTAGAAATTGACATATAAATTGAAGTCAAAGACACAGAAGGTTTAATTTCACAGATCCTTGGGAAAAGTTGTAAGAAGAGCCTTTAGGATTTTCAGAGAAAGTTGAGATCATGTCAAACATTTTACTTAAGAAAAGTTCAAAGAGCCATATATGCAATTGAATTGTCACAAATTTGAAGTGTCTGGGTCTGAATCGATGAGGTTTTATTGTAGTTTTACCACCTGGGGATGAGAGCCCTGGGGCTTGGGCCTTGCTGTACTGGCTCCCTTGCTAAATCCAGCAGACACAAAAACCCTCCAGCCCACCCCTGAGCTCTCCCAGCCACCTGCCTTCTAAATATTGGAACTTGCTGGAGCCCCACTCCCACCCTCAACCCTATATGGAGGGCTGACTCTCGTTAGTCCTGACGCAGGATATTTTTAAAATATACAAAGGCACACCAAATGTTGGCACTTATTCTTTAGTTATTTGATTAACTTTACATGTTCAGGGTGAGTCTAAGAAAACAGTTATTGGGGAGACTGAATTGCCTTCCCAGGCATGATTTGTTCTAGGAAGAAAGGAAAAAAACAAAACAAAACAAAACACCAGCCCTAAATGCCTGAAATTGAAAATGTTTTTGCCCAACCTCATACCTAGTTCTTACCAGCTTTATTTAAAAATTGCAAACCAGAGAACATCAGAAGCACTCACTTCTACTATATACGGAGAACTTCGTCCCTCATTGGAACTTAATAAATGATTGAGCAACTGTCTATAGTTGTGGTGTTAATAATCATAGAGATAGGTAGCCCTACAAAGAACAAGGACTACTGTGTTATGAATGATCATTGTTGAAGTCTGGTAGAGGAACTTATAATTCTAGTGAACAAAGAGAATTTAAAGGCAGGGGTTGTAGGAGAAGTGAAGAACAGATCTATTTCTGTATACACAAGGTAATTCTTTTAGAACCTTAGAACCAAACCTGACTCTCTGAGAAGGAGAAAAAGATTATGTCAAGGGCAGTAACAACCAAAAAGCTGTATAATTTCAATTGAATAAACAGTCTGTGTGCCTGGATTGGGCATGGCTAGGCTTAAAAAATACTTTATTTTACGCTTGCTCAGACAGGGGAGTGCTAGTTTTGTACGTGAGCTAACTCAGTGTTGTGGGCATCTAAAGTCTTTAAAATCTTTTCCAAAGACAGTAAAAAGTTATACTTTGGCTTCTAAATACTTACCCAGTACTTTTCATTACTTAAAGGCAAAGATGTATGCTTCAGAGGTACAGTCAACCACACTGAGCACACTGTATCTTTTGTACACAAATTACATGTATATATGTACCCCTCCATATACCACAATACATATATACATATACATACATATACATAGAGAGAGAGAGAGATTGGGAAGGTGAAGCAACAATACATTAAGGCATAATCCGTGTGTGTCTGTGAATAACTTATTCCCTGAGAGTAGAATTAAGCTGCAATTAAGAGATAAATGTGACAACTGCTACCATACTCTGATGTGTTTTTATATGATGTATTCATAGCTGAGAAGTTTTCCACTTGGGACATTTAATTACTTTGTATAGGAATTAACAATGGCTTTAAGGATTATTGTTTTTTGGTGGAAGAGGCAAATCTGTTTGTCACTTTCATTTGTGTGGTGCCATCAAACAGCATTGCTACACAGCCAAGATTTAGTGATTCTCTAGAGCTCATTGAGCACCCAGAGAATATGGCAGTGAGTATTGGGCGGTAGAAAAAATTTTCATACTTCCTCCATTTGGCAGCAAACCTCATCTTGTTTTAGTGTGCCAGGGCATATTCTACCTCTTCGTCTGTAGCCAGGGGGTCTTGACCCAGACATATACTGGAGTCATCTGGGCAGTTTTAAAAATGACCAATCCTTGACCCCTCTGCATGAGACTCTGATGAATTGAGTTGGGGTGAGACGTGGGCATCAGCAAGTTTTAAGAGCTTCCCAGGTGACTGCGATCTGTAAGTGAATGATGAGAACAGGAGGTGGTGCTTTTCTGGACACCCCATCTTGAAAGGAGCCCACTCACCTTTCAATATTTTCTGTCTACATCAGTCATGTGGTACTTTCCACATAGGTTTTGTCCTTTTCATGATCACGTATCCATATATTTTGCTTCCTCAGCAATTTGTCTCTAATAATACAACAGCCAAGCTTTGTTGGGTGCTTTCTCTGTGCCAGGCATAATACCAGATGCTTTACTTAATATGGCCTTCCATCCTAACAACCACCATCTGAGCTATATTCTATTATTATCTTCAATTCACAGGATAAGAGAGGTTAGGTAACTAGGTAGATCGCAATTCAAACTCGAGCTTCTCTGGCACAGAACCCAAGCTCCTGGCCACTCTACCTTCTGTTGCTTGAAGGTCAAGATATACCTCCTTGTTCTTCAAAAAAAGCACAGAGGCAGTTGTTTCAATGCTCAGCAGATAGGTGGCTTTTGATTGGTTGAGTAATGAAATTTTGTGATTGGGTAAATGATTAATTCAGGAACTAATCCTGTACATTTACCTAAAAGCAAACTGGGTCTCCAAATTTCAAAGTATTCTCAAGTTTTCATTTCTAACTTCTAAAGTTAGTAAATGAAAATAGAACTGAATTTATTTCTATCCTATTTACTTACCCTGAATAGTTTTTGAATATGTAAGATTAAAATATTTTTATGAAGATAGTTACAAGGGCAGTCTATGGCGATGATTAACAGTGAAAGAGTGCTTTTTGGAAAAGTGAAAAAAATGTCTTCTTTGGAATGTCAACTTTCCTTTGGCACCCCTTTGAATAATTTGGGAAAATATCCTTCCTTTCTTAGCTTACAGTAACCTCAGAAAATAGGTTATAATCAAGTATATCTGTCATTTCTCTTCTATGATTAACTTAAAAGCACAATTGTGACTGTGGAAAGCCATTTTCTTTGTATCCATGTCTTCAAAAAATTGGTCTGTCATTGTGGGAAAAGCCTTAATATCCAAATAAGGGGAGGGCAGGCCCCCTCCATGTCTCTAGAGACAATTTTGTGGATACTCAGAAAGAACATACTTACCATCATTTGAACCCCAAATACTCCCAGTCTGAAAAGACCATCATATAGGATAGAGTAGAAAACAATTCTAACCTGCATTCATTTTATGTCTGCAGGTTAGTTCTAGGTTTCTATGTTTGGAGGGTACTGATTTGGCCCTTCCCCTCACTCCTACCTGCACATCACTGGGTAGAGAGGGAGTGTTAGACCCACCTCAAGTGGTCTTCACCCCATTCTTCAGATGGTTTGGGGGAAAATAATGATTCTGTGGTGCTCTCTCTCTATATAAATACTGTATATATGATTCACAAAGAGACAGTCGTAGGTAGAGGAAGATTAGTATCACTGGCTAGCTACTGGTTACTATGCTTGGTACTCATCTGTTGTAATAAAGGTAAGTATAGACGGACATAGGAAACTATGACAGGCTAAGGACAGAAAGAACCAAGGCAGGTAGGAGGCGTGTGTCGGGATGTAACTGCAGTTGTTGTTAGGTATATCAATCGCTTCATGCACGCACAGGAGAATCACCCCACATTTACCCTGCCGTGGAGGGCCACCCATGTCACAAGCAGTCCACCAGAAGTTGCTGTTACATTCCTTGGGTCAGTGTTAGGAAGCAGGAGCACCCGGGAAAAGTCCCATTAGAAGACATGGTACTGGAAGGGCATGCACAGACTATGATAGCAGGTGGCTGGCTCATTCGGTTTAGTCACATACCTCTTTCCCCTGCCACGATCAGCCAAGAGTGAGTGGAACAGTAGAAAAACAGGGAGGAAATTTAAATATGCAATCAGGCATTATTCGGGATGATTGGATTTATGGTGTGTTATAGATTAGTTAACTGTACCGTCAATTTTCATTTAATCATGGGAATTATCATTTCAGGTGCATAAGAAATTACTTTTATGGAATGTCTGTTCTTCCCTTTTTGCTGTAGAGTTGACTGGAGACAGCAATTTTCAAAATGTTATTTTGAGAGATATGATTTTAAATTTCAGTTTTGCAGTAAACAGTGATATAACAGTTTGACCATAATGGAACCTTGGAATCTTTTCTTGGAAGGGTTGGGTTGTTTGGGATTTGGTTTGCCTTAAAATCCCTTGGTTTACAATTATTATCAAAATGATCATTTTGACAGTGGTTTGTAAAAAAAAAAAGTTAGCTGAATTTGTTTAGGTGTCTGTTGAAGAATTGACAAGTTAAACAACACAGAATAATTCACTTCTGTCACTGCATTTAGCAACCCAGATCACCTAAGGTTAACAAATGAAGACTCAAGTGCAAGCAGAATAAGTTACAGAGATAAATCCACGGCCTGCGACACAATAAAATAAATAAAAACAACAGTGGCAGCCACAAAAACAACCACAAAAGACCCAAAAGTATTCCATGTGCTCTGGACAATAACCCTGTGCTGCTCAAATAATACCTTTAAAATACACTCACCTCTTTTGCTGGTTGCTAGAAATAGCTGAAAAGTTAAGCTGATGCGTACAACCTGCAGTCACTTTTTGGTTGTTTTAAACAACCTCCCACAGGCTTCTCCTTACCAAGCTTCCACTTTGTCTTTGCAAGGCCAGTTAAAAGAAAATGGGTGTTAAGGCATGTTATTCACCACGTGGCCAGTGGGATGGGTTCTGCCACCTCAGGGAGCGACCCCCCAGCACACCACTCACCTCTGCGTGGTGCTCTTCGTTCTGCTGAAGAACTTCAATGACTAGTTCAGCAAGACGGATTGTGTCTTCGAGCTTTTTGGCAGGCGTGATTAACCGGCCTACATTTTCTGTAGTACAAGAATTTGTGTTAAAATTCAGTGAAAGCGGCAGGCTAGTTTTGTGGCCGGTAGCACCAGTGGGTAAGAAATTTCGAATAGTTACCAATTTTTTAAAAAGTTTCATGCAGATGTTAAGAGCCACATAATTCGTCGTGAGCAAACCATAAGCCAGTTTATTATTATCACCATCATCATTATCATACATAGGAAGAAAAAGCAGTGCTCCAGCTTCAAATTTGCATATTAAGCCATCTTGTCTATGACAGCCCATTTCAAATTTTGTGACATTTTGTACACATGTTCTTTAAAGACAGCATAAATGTACTATCTTCCATCACTCTCTAGACTGTGTCCGTGCTACCTGAAGTGGGAAGAAATAACAGAAGCTTAATCTTGATTGCTGCTATATCTGTTTCCTGGATTTGTCCCTAAACATTTCATACTACAGCATTGTTTTTCATTACAGGTCTGCAAGTTTAACAGGTATTGGAATGTTCATTTTAAAAAAGCAGAGTCAAAGGTCTGGCTGTTTCAAGTTGTTCAGGGTGGAGACTGAAAATTAATGGACATTCCTGGGCCATTAGGTAGAAAGCAGAATCAAATTACTGAAAAGGGTATTGGGGCTATGCTATTGGATGAGGTGATGGTAGTTTGTGCTTCTGGTTGGTACAATTGGAATTTTATCAGTTAGGTGGCAATAACGTACTCAAGATTTTTCTTTGTTTTTAGTGTCTATTGTGTTGGATGGGTTGTGTTTTTACCTGACTGCAGAACAAACTGAACCCTGGTTTATGTTGCATCCTTTATAGAGCTGAATTCCTGAATGTTTGGCAATGTCATTATGTCACCCAAAATTACAAACATTTCTTTCCTTGGGAAAAAGAGGAATATTTAAAATATAAAGGTTTGTTTAACCAATGTAATTGCCTGGATTCAACCAGTTTGAACTCACAGGGGATCTTGTATTTCATGTTTAGACCCCTTCAAACCTTGAAGCCTCAGCATCATTTGGAGCCCATGGGTATAATGACAAGAAGGATTATTTAGCACAATTCCACAGGTAGGTATATATTGCACAAAAAGATTCCCCAAATTTATTTTCATCTATTCACCTGAAGCTGATATGTTTTGGCTTCAGGATTTTTCTTGCTAGAGAAGATTACTTAACGCTTCACAGGAAGGTTTGTTGTTGTTGTTTTGTTTGTTTGTTTGTTTTTGCTTTTGTTTTGAGGGGCGTGTTAAACAAAATCATAAAAGATTGCACATTTACAAAAAAAAATGTGCCTCATGATTTTCTCTTTGTACATTTGTTAGATAGGCAATGAATATATCAGATGATTAGTAATTTAGGATTTAATAATGAAAAACAAGTTCAGCCACTCTGGGGCACAGGGAACTAAGAGTGCTGGGTGGGACTGCATAAGGTTATCGAGGTGTTGAAAGTTTCAGTCCAACAAGGCGTGATGACTGGTATAAAATTGGACTTTCGGTATTCAGGCCAATGGAAAGCTCCGTGGTCTCTGTTATGCTCAGGTGGAAATGTGTCTGGATATGGTTAGGGCATGAAGGTGGGAGCTATGGGGGACATAAAGATGCAAATCAGGCAGTGACTATCCAACACTCAGAGTAGAGAGATGTGTGGGGTTCAGGGGCTGACAATTCATTGCCTAGACCAGAGCGATAAGTGTTTGAAGAAATAATGAGTGATTTCTGTGCTTTCGGGGCACCTGACCTGTTTATAATTCCATAAATGGACTATCATAATTTCATTAGTTGACTTTCAGGCATTTCTACAAACATACTGTGTATATATGTTTGGGTAATATGTGTAGAGTGAGGTACTTGCATTTTGATAGTAAATATGCATACGCTATTATTTTTTATTAGTTGATACATTTACACATCAATTTGCAAATTCCTCATCCTATGCTTATTACCCATTCGACACATACACCCACATACACACATCACACACTTACATACATTTTCTAGTAACCAGACAGGCCTGCACATTAATACAAATCTGCAAGAAATCCCACTTGGGGCACATCTTTGAAATCTCTTGCTTTAAAAATAGAGAGCATTGTCCTTTTGGATAGAATACTCGCCAAATCTTGGGGAATTCTAGTTGTACATGACATATCATGTAGAAATGAAGTAATTCCCACTAACATTTCTATGCATTTTTACTTAAAAAGTCTGAATGCTTTTTATGTTTGGAGAAATCCAAGATGCTTAAGCTAGGACCACCTGAAGATTTGTTTTAATATGCAGTACTCTTAGATTGAGTACAATATATATAGATAGATACACATAAAGTGTATATGTGCACACAGCCATTCTGTGAGTGTGTGCACATGCACACAGACACGTGTATGCTTGATGTATATATACAGACAGTATGTTTAATAAAACCTTTTGCAATTTTACTTTAACATGCAACCATTAAAGTAAATAGGTTAAGAATCCTTTACTCTAGCAAGCTTGATCTTCCAATTAACCCATGTAGCCAGACTTTCATTTACTATTAATTAGCTGCAATTCCATTATCTGGAGATCAAGCCACTTTATTGAGACATAACACTATTTTCCTCTTCATTTGCATAGCTAACTTACTAGCTAAATGGCAAAAATGGTACTAAGAGCGAGTTCTCTAAGATGTTGTCTTTAAAGAAAATATGGTGCAAAATCCTGTAGCATCTCCTCCCTCTCCCCAACAGAGGTCAAGGAGAAATTTGTGCATAGAAATTATTTTTTTTGTCCCTTCTGTCTCAAAATGTATTGCAATAGTTCTATCACCCAATCTTGTACTAGCTGGAGCACTGACAAAGAGGAACTACAAATACAGTATATTTAGTAAATATTTCATACAACAAAATTGAAGCTCATAACATGTAAAAAATCTTCATGCAAAATGTTATGCAACAACAATGTTATTTTGTGCTGACATTGAGATTTGAAAATGTGCATATGTCAGACATAGCTAGACAAAAAATAAATGTGGACATTTGGAAATAAACGGTCTCTTTTGGATCTCTCAAAACCTACAATGTCAAACTTGAGAGCCTGAGCCTCAGCTTAGTATTCCAAACCAAAATAAAATTTCAAGAAGAAAAATGAACAGGGAAGCAAACTAAACTAGAAAGCTGCTGAGTAAAGGAATGGTAGAAGTTTACAGTACTTGATTTTGGCCTAGGAAAGCCTTTGAGCCTCTGATATAACAAGCTGGTCTGCATTTGGGTGGGTGGAGGAGGCCCAGGAGGTGATGGGGGAGCTGCTCAGGTAGGTGAGGAGAGACAGTAAAAAAGTAAAGAGACAGACAAAGTGACTTTCACGAAGAGTGACAAGTAAGATGACTAACTCAGAGAACAACCAAACAAGTAAAAATGATAAAACACAAATGCAGGACTGCTGCTTTCTCGGCGTTTCTGCAACATAGCAGAGGTGTGACATTGTTTGACAAGGAACGGGACTATACTGTTACTGGCATCACCAGCACTACCCTACAGAGATACTCAGAGGCTGAATGCAAATACTGGATGCCTTTTTCCAGATAGACAGATACACATGAATGATGGTGGCAGGGTCATTGACCGAAAGAAGATACACTTTTGTACAATAAAGAACACCTATATGTTAACAGCGGCATCCTCTTTCCAGACGACCAGAAACAGAACCTGATATATTCGTAGTTGAAAGATCTGGCTTCTCACCCTCAATATGCTACTCCACTCTTGATGTAACCTTGCTCCTTCTACTTAAACCTCCCTATGCTTGACGTACCTTGCAGGGTTGCTGATAAGAGCAAATAAAACAATGCATGGGACAGATCTCTGTAAAGCCTAAGGTGCCTACAAATGTTTATTGGTCTCTCCAACATTGTGAAAAGGCAGGAATTAATTGCTTTGCAAAAGCAGATGAAGGGCCGTTATTAGTTCAAGTGAGCTAGGGAATATTCTTGCTCCCTTGGTGGAATTTCAACATGTCAAAATCTGTCATTTTGGGAGAAAATGTGTGGTATCTGATTGTTTCCAGCTCATTTAATTATTTTCAATTTGGAATTCTTGTGGCTCTTATATTGTGGCTTGAATCATATATAAAAACTTGCCAGCTTATCAAATATGTTGCTTGCTATTCCAAATGTTAGAATACTGTAATCAGCACTTGACCCATCTGTCATGTGGTTTCCAATATCAGCACAGCAAACATCCTATAACAATAGCCTCTCCTTCAGTACAGGCACAGAGCGCTATCAGCTTCCACAGTTCTTTCTCTTTAATGAGTGTCTCATTAACCTTGGACCTGCTCCTTTCTAATAATTCTAGTTTATAAAGCAATCTGCATGGCGAGGGGGGACATACTCCACTGCCAAGTTTGCTTCTTGGTTTGCTTGAATTCTCAATTGGGAGAATGAATTTTACTGCAGGCTTATAGGAGATGGAATTCTAGTGACATTAATAAAAATACGAGAAACAAGGATAAATAAAATATTCTGGCAAAACTATCTATTAAAAGCAAAAGTTGATGAGATCCTTATCTTGTGGGACCGCTCAACATTTTGAACGCAGGACTACAACATGATTTACTAGTCTTCTCTCATTTAAATCTTTTGTTTGGGAAAGATTGTGTGTAAATAGAAGTTGGAAAAAACAGTTTTACATGACAGCCATGGAAAGGAAGGCAATGGCTGATACTTTCTTTATGAAAAAGCACTCCACATTTTAAGTTAGTAAAAATTGGTTTTCCACCTACAGTTGTGTGAAAGTTAGGTACATCTCCGATAACTCATTTTCCTGACTTTTTCAGTGAATATGTGTTACTCGAGTAAGCAGTTCTCCTGAAAACTCGTTCTCAGTGAGATAACTAAACCTGTGTAGAGAAACACAGGAGCTGGCGTTCACAAAACCATGCAATGTACCCAGTCTGATCCATAACTCGCGAGGGAGCAGATACACATTTCAGCTCAATGGGTCTTGATGAAAATTCGTAAAGGGAGTTCCTGCTGCCAA